TGCCCTCTGTCCGTGCGCCCCCCCGTCTTTCCAGACGATCGCGATCTTACCTCCTCGGAGATATTCACAGCCAGGACCTGATTCGCCATGGTGAAGACCCGGCGCTTGGAGATGAGCTTCTCGATGGTCAGCTGGGGTGAGGGAGGGGTGGCTTTGGGCAGGGTGCAGGCTGCACTGAGCGGTACACTCACAGCTGCCCCCTGGCCCCTGGGTCCTCCTCTGCACGGTAGCAGCCCAGAGAGGAGATGGAGAGAAGGGCCCCGGGAAGACTGGACCCCGGGGACAATCCCCTGGGAGCTCAGCAGCAGGTGCAAGCCAGCTGCCTGCCTGAAGGAGGGCCTCTCACCTGGCCGTGACTGTAGATGTGGTGTCTCACCAGCTCTTGCAGCTTGGAGAGACCCTGGCGGGGAGAGAGGGTTTGAGTCCTGGAGGCCCAGATGTCCCTGAACCTGCAACCCAGCCCCCCCGGGGCTTACCGCTGTGAAGAGGTAGATCAGGCGGCCGTCGCGCAAGCTGTCCACGGCCTCGTTGCTCGGGACGAACACTGTGAAGGGCCCAGGCCCATCCAGGATGGAGGGCAGCTGACAGTTCTAAGCGAGTGGGAGCGAGGCTCAGAGGGGTGCCCGGCCTGGGGCCTGCCACCCTCGGCCCACAGGGGTACACGGGCTATAGAACCTCACTGCTATGGCAGGCAGGCCAAGGCCACGCCACCCCAGAAGCGCCAAGCACCGCGGGGCTAATAAAGTCTCGGCCCAGGAGCCCAGATGGGCCAGCCTCCCTCTCACCTCCAGAATGGTTTCAAACCGGCTGAAGGCTTCGGTGGAGGCAAGGATCTGGCCGATAGTCCTCTGTAGGGAGTGACCAGAGTGAGGGCCCCAGGGAAGGGGCGATTGGCTTTAGTCCAGGGGAAGTGGCTGTGCTCCAACCCTGTCTCCTCCCCGAACTCTGTGGGACCACCCGGCAGCACAGCATTGGGGGGGGCTCACCCCAGGGTCCCCAGGGAAGCCGGGGGGAAGGTGCCACTGCAGTGCAGTGACCAAGTGGAAGATGCCATTGGAAGCGATGTAGTTGGCCCTGTCGATGCCGAACGTCTGCTGGGGCTGGTCTTTGTACCAGTACGTGTATTTCTGCCAAGGAATAGGCGCGTGTCGGGCCGGATCCCACACGCCAGCCCCCTGGGCTCCCTCCTACCTCCAGCCTTGCCCAGGCTGCGTCCCCCACTGCGGCTCCTCCAGCCCCCAGGCTGAAGCCCCTGCCTTTACCTTGAAGCTGTTCAGGGTGACGGTGACCTCCTGCCCCGCCAGTGTCCACCACCTGCGTGTCGGCCGGGAGCCCGGGTCCTCCAGGATGTGCTGCCCTGCGATGACGTGCTGTCTGCAGAGCTGCCGGGCGAGGGTTGCCTGTGCACGTAGGGGACACGTGAGCTGGGGGCGGGCCCTCTCACCCCCACCCCAGTGATGGGAGGACACGATGCCACCCAAGCCTCGAGTGCCCAGAGTGTGGACGGTGCCTCCCTCAAGGCACCCAGGGAGGCCAGCTCGGGCCGGGGAGGGCTCACGTTCATGGGCCCGGAGGACTGGGAGGAGAAGGAGCTGGCAGAGTAGACAGACGGCACCAGCACGGTGAACGGGCCCGACCTGGTGAGGAGCTCCCGGCAGCCCTGATCTGGGGACCAGAAGGGGGACATCAGAATGGGTCCATAGAGACCCCAAGTGAAGACCCTCAGGCATTAGTTCTAGGTGTGGGGAGTCGAGGTGGAGGCATCAGGGTTGGGGCACCCCCACCTCCACCATGCACCCACTCTGCTTCCACAGCTCGGGCTACAGAGTCACCCCACCTCCCCGCAAGCAAGCTATACCAGGCCCAAGGCGGGCTCACGGGCAGGGGTCACACACCCAGCATGGCGACGGCGACTCTCATCCGCGGGAACAGCAGGCCCACCTGCGTGGCCTTCTGCACCTCATGCAGCAGGTGTCCGTAGCAGGCACGCCCGTCCCCCACCTCGCCCTCCTTGCACACACAGCTGGGGGCCCAAGGAGAGCCAGTCAGGGCGGGCGGGGCTGGTGCCACCTCCCGGCCCCCACCTGAGCTGAGGGCACACACACGTACACGCTCGCCCAGCCCACCCTCTCTGCTCTGTCCTGGTGTGGCCCCAGTGCCCACCTGGTCTTCCCGTCAGGGGTCATCTGGCAGGTGGCTGACGAGTCACAGGTGCGGAGGAGACAGACAGCGGAGCAGCCCGCAGAGGCATTGTGGTTGCGGTTGATCAGGCCTTGCTGGCATGAGCAGATGGCCTGACACCGGCCGGGGCAGGAGAAGGACAGCACGCCCGTGAGGCTGGCGGGGGGCCCACCCACAGGTCCCTGCTTGGTTCCCATAACCACCCTCTCCCCATGTTAGGCGTGGGACAGCTGAGGCTCCCAGGAGGCCCGTGACACTGCAGGGAACAGGGGCAGGCCGGCCTGGCTCACCTTGCCTGGCCCCTGGTACAAACACAAGGTGGAGTTGCTGGGGCAGCCCCCGGAGTTGGAGGTGCACGGGTCCTCGGGGAGACACACTGTCCCATCGCCATGGTAGTTCTCAGGGCAGTGACACTGAGCCTGCCCCTCGGGGCTCACTGAGCACTGGGCCAGCGCCGAGCAGGGCGATGACTGGCAGGGGTCGAGAGCTGCCAGGGCCGAGAAAGTCCAATGAGTGGAACATCCAGGGGCCCCGTCTCGCCAGCAGCTACCACCAGGATGGCCGGGGCCAGGGGAAGCAGTCTGACCTCTGCTCCCCTCTTAGTTCTCCTTCCCAGCCAAGGGCCCGCCCAGCCCTGCCACCCTGGACCAGCATCCCTGGAATCGGGGGACAGGCTCACCTCGGCAGCTGTCACCCTGCCGGATGAAGCCGGGCAGGCACCTGCAGGAGGGGGCCTCTGCGGAGCACTGGGAGTTCTGTGGACAGTGCAGGGCCTGGCAGGCGGGCAGCTCTGGCAGGAGGGAAGCAGGGAGGGCACCGCGATGACTCCAAGGCCCAGGGTGGGGGAGGGAGGGACAGAGGAGCGAAGGCGCCGTGCCCGTGTGCTCTGTGACTCTGAGCAGGACTCTGTCCTCTCTGGGCCCCTGGGCAGAAGAGGCCCTGGATGACACCCCTTCCCCCAACCAGGCTGCAGACAGGGGCCCTGCTGAGGCTCTGGTTTGCTCACCTGGCTGACCTCTCCTGCCGTCCCACCTGTGCCAGCAGGCGTTACTCACCCTGGTCGCAGCGCGGCCCAGTGTACCCGGCAAAGCACAGGCAGCTTCCATCCCCGAGCGGCCCACGGTTGCACACGCCGTGCACACAGCTGCACACTGGAGGGACACGCAGGGTCAGGTGTGACCCCAGCCTCTCCCACCACAGACACACAGGGACACTGGGTCTCTGCCCCCTGCATGTTGAGAACTCCTGCAGGTACAGCCTTGAGCCCGGGCTGTGACGCAGACCACAGCAGTGATGGGAGCCCAGAGGAAGCACTTGGCCTCATCAGCCTGGGTGTTCCGGGGGGGCTTCCTGGAGGAAGCTTCCAAGAACAGCCTGTGCCTGGGGTTAGTGGTGGGGGTGACACAGCAAACACATGCTCCTGGATGCAAAGTGCAAGGTTGACAGGCTGGGAGGGAGGCTGAAGGGACAGGGAGGGCCTGGGCGTAGAGACTGTCTCCATGGCCCCAAGTGGCCTTGTAAACGCTCACCTGACTGGCAGTCAGGCCCGAAGTGGGTGGGGTCTCGGCACTCCTGGCAGGCTGAGCCACTGAAGTTGTCCTGGAGGTGGTGGCACTGTCAGCGTGGCCCCTCCGAGCCCCCGCCCTGAGCCCACCCCTGGCTCTTACCTGGCACACGCAGGTCCCGTTCCTGGCCATGCCATCTAGGCAGGTCCCGTGGCCATTGCATGGGGTCTCTGCACCCCCAGGGCACTCTGTGAACCCCCAAGACTCAGCTCTACCTCCAGGAGTCTGCCTCTCCCCTAACCCCAATGACTCTGGCCAGCCCAAGCCCCAGGCCCTCCCTAAGGGCAGCCAGAGCTAAGCACTGAGGAAGTAACAGATCTCAGGGGACTGCAGGCAGCTCTCGCAGGTGGGGAGCCGGGCTGGGGTGGGACCCTCTCCCCATACCATACCGTAGCACTGGGAACCCCAGTAGCCAGGGCAACAGGCCTCTTGCATCACCTCCTTGGAGCACACCAGGCTGCAGCCACTCATGGACACCACAGAGTCCCCCAGCTGCACCTCGTAGCTGGGGACAGAGGGTGGGCCGGCGGGGAGGGCAAGGGGCTCTCGCTGCAGCCCACCCAGCCTCCCACAGGGTTTGGAGCTCTCGCCCACCTCTCCTCGCGCTGTCTGGCCCAGGCGCCCCGGGAACACCCCTGCCCCTGCCCCTTCCCTACTCCCTCTCTGCCTGACTCTGCCTCCCTGGAGGGCTCAAGAGACGTGACGGAAGCAACCCTTGTCCCCACTCTGCAGCCCGTGGGGCCCCTGATACCCCACAGGACACTCCGGGAAGTGGGTGAGGACAGGTGAGGGTTTGTACCGGCAGGGCCGGGATGTCTTCTCTGGATATCTCCAAAGCCAGCCCTGGGGACAAACGGGCTTCTTGGTGGCAGCACAGGAAGTACAGAACATGTGAGTGACAAGCCTGGTCTTCACATTGCAGCGTCTGGACCGCAGCTGCAACTGGGTGAGGGGCGTGGAGTGAGGGACCTGGAGCAAGCCTGCACCTGCCTCCCCCTGCAGGCCTTCTCCCGTCCACTCAGTGGGAATGCAGTGAGGTGGGGAGAGCCCTGAGAAACCAGCCTGTCATCAGTTAATGCCACAGCAAGTCCCTGTGTCCACAGCCACGTCCCCATCCCTCCCGCCCCTAACACATGCCCAGAGGCCACAGAGTCTGCACTGGTGGCGGGAGGACGATCCGGCTGCTGGTCTGCCCCGCCCACTTCAGGTAAGAAAACAAATCCAGCCAAGCGGCCCTTGCCCAAGACGGCCAAGTGACAGGGTGAGAATCAGGGACCAGAACCCAGGATGCCACACTAGTGCTCTATTAAAAAAAAAAAAAAAAAAAAAAAAAAGAATTTTTGATGAGAGAGAACAAGTCGCCAGGTCCGGGACTCCAACTGTGGTCAGCCGTGTGGGAGTCCAGCGTCTTTAACCGCCACGCCACCTGCCTGAACCTGCTAGTGCTCATTTTTGTTATTCACTTAAAAATAAACGGGGCCAGCAGGTGGCATAGAGGTTAAGGCACTGCATCTCACGTGGCCAACTTCGTGGTCCGAGTCCGGATCTGGCAGCTTGAAAATCACATGCGTGCATGTGCGCGTGCGCCCAGAAGAGTGGCGGAGGGATCAGCTCAGCCATAGCCCTGGGGAGCGACTCCTCACCTTCCCTCTCTCCTGGTGGGCACAAGCGCCTTCTAGCAAAAACTAAAGAAAAAGAAAAGAAAAAACAGAGACGGGGCAGCCGCCAGTGTGGTAATTAAGGCAGCTGGATGCCACATGGCTGGTTATGCAGTCTGAGTCCTGGCACGGAGAATCACACGGGGGTGGGGGGAGCAGGTGTCTAGTGGCTGGGGTGCTGGACTCCCACAGGGCCCACTGCGGCTGGGGTCTTGGCGGGTGGCTTTTCGCGTTTCCCCTCTTTCTCTGTCTCTCTGGTGAGCACACATGCTCTATGACACATTAAAAATAATAATAAAATTGAATAAATTAATTCTTAAGAAAAAAGAAAAAAATCACACTGGGTGTGTGTGCGCGTGTGCCCAAAATCCCGAGAGGAGGCTGGGAGAGAAGGAACTGCAGTGTGGCCATCGCCCTGGGAGGTACTCTCTCCATTTCCCTCTCTCTCTGACACTCTGTCTCTCTCCAGCAAGGGTATGTGCTCTATAGCAAGCAAAAAACAGTCATTTAATGATGCTAATAGTAACGGGACAATAAACAACGTGGCTGACACTGGGAGGGTACAGTAATTCCAGCCTGGGTTCTTGGGCACCAGCAGACGCGAGCTGGAGGCCGAGCCTCACACCATGGGGAGTCTTCTGAGCGTGAGCCCACGCTGCTGCCAAAGGGCCCGCCTGGCCACGTGGGGGTCAGAGGTCGAGAGCCCTGCCCTGGGGTCACACTGGATGGACGGAGTGAGCAGGTGTACCTGGTCTGTACTACTTTGTGGCTTTCCAAGTCCTGACTCCAGGCCTGCCTGGCCCAACACCCCCACCCATAGGCAGGGACCCAAGCGTGCAGTGACAGAAAGCGCTGGCAGCCAAGCAGCTCCCTACAGAGGTAACAGGTGACCTGGGCCCTGAAGGGCACAATGGAGCTCCCTGGCCGAGGGGACGGCAGAGGCAAAGGCCTGGAGCGGGAGGAGACAAGAGACCATACACGATAAGGCCAAGGGGCCCGAGGGAGGCAGCCGGGACCCTATGTGGGGGAAGGGGCGCAGGGCAGGTGCATTTGTCTGGGGGCTTGGGGTGCAGCCTGGGGTAGCTAAGATGTTCTCATCTTGAAAAATGCTGAATACACTGTGGCCTAGAGGGAGTATGCTCGGAACATCCCTTTCCTGGAACAAATTACAGATGGGTGGTTTGTCAAAGTGAGAGAAAAGGAGAAACAGCGTCCGACAGTCTCCCAGCAAACACGAGGGGCCCGGGGCCCCCGGCTGCTGTGATTTGGCCTTTTCCGCTCATGCCTCTGTGGTCTGCAAAGAGGGAAGTTACTCAGCCGCCCTCCTGTCAGGCTGCCGGGCTAGGATGTTGTGGTCTCATTCCCTGCCCCGGGGCCCAGCTTTGCTGAGCCAGGGAATGTCTAGGAAATTGGGTAAGTTGAGGGCCGAGCAGCTGCTGGCCTGAGACAAAGCAGTGGGCTTGGCAGAGGTGGCTGGGGGCAGGGGCCCACACGTGTTGATGAGGTGGCCAGGTTGCCAGCGGTCAGCCGGCTGGGGGACCAGTTCTCTCTGGGTAAGGAGTTAGGGCGTGGGTGAAGCTGGAGCTTCGGGTCCTAGTGGGAGGTGCTCCCTCACAGGGCAGGCATAGGGGTGCTAAGTAAGTGTGAAATGCTGATGGAGTAAGCCCACTGCCAGGTCAGCTCCCCTGGGGGGCCTGGGACCCCCACTGGCCATGTCTGGTGGAAGCCCAGGCTCAGTGGTGGGCCCTGGGGGTGGGGAGGTGGGGAGTGTGGGGGTGAGGCTGGCCCGGGCCTGAGAGCTGAGTCAGATTCCCTTCTTCCTGAGGGCACTTAGGACCGGCCTGAGCCAGATCCCGTGCTCCCGCTACCCCAATTTGGAGCCCATTACACAATGTCTGTTTCCCACAGAGATGCTGGCAGGAGGCGCTGAAGAGACCCAGTATTAAGTATCTGTTGGTGAGAAGGTGCGAGAAATTTCTCCAAGTTGGGACTGGGTTTGTGGGGACTGCTGGAGGCCAGGAGCCAGAACCCAAGCCTCCTCAGAGAGGAAGGGCCCCCCGAACTGCTCCCCTAGATCAGAGCAGGGACGGGGAGGCAGTTTCCAGACTGGGCCAGGTTCTGGACAGAGCTTCTCTCCAAAGCCAGCTGGAGGCCTCAGGCTCCCCGGCCGGGGCCTAGCGCAGAGCCAGTGTGGGTCCAGGTCAGGCTGGGACAGCCAAGAGCTGAGACCTCTTCCGCAAGGTGCCGCCCGCCCTCTGCTGCCAACTGCCCGTCACCAACCGTGGGACCCAGGGACCCCCCTGACCCTCCTGACAGTGGACGTGTGAGGGCCGAAGTGGGGTGTGAGACGAGCCAGAACACACGACCCCACCCCTCTTCCCTGGCCCAGGCTGGCTGAGCCCCAGCCCCAGAGCAGGCTGAGCGGTGGTCAGAGCCCCTGGTCTCTCTCAAGGAAAATACTCCAGTCTGAGGCCCCTCTTTGACCCCCATCTCCACTGCCCAGAGCATGAGAAGGTCATGAGGCCTCTGAGGCTCCCTGACACTGCATATACGGGGAAACTGAGGCAGGGAGAACGCAGGAACCCTGCAGGGCTCAGCACAGCCCTGACACATGCGCCTCACATGTGCTGGGGCCTCGCTCCCTGCCACGTTCTAAGGGACCACAGGCACACAAGGGAGAGAGCCCAGGGGTAGCGGGTCTGGGTCCACGGGCTGCCCGGCTGGGGCGGCTTCCTGGGCAATCCTTCCCTTCTCCAGATCTCAGTCTGCCCATCAGCGCCACGGGGATGGTGGCAGCTGGCCCAGGAAGGTGAATGTGGCCTAGGAGGGGAGGTTCCTTCCCTGGGCAAGTCCCAGCCAGGGGACTCCACTTCCATACTCAGGTGGGAGGCTCGTCCAGAGCTCCGGTAGGCACAATGTCCCTGTCACGAGATCTGGCACTTTCGACCTGTCCGGGCACCAGCAGGCCTGGACGGGAGTCACAGGCAGCAGGTCGGAGCGTGGCTCCGGAGTGGGGGTGGTTGGTCTCCATCATCCCGGGAACTGGGCTTCCTCACGTGGAGAACAACAGGACGCACTGCCCAGCACTGGGAGGCTGGCGAGGACCTGCCAGGGACACGCTGGGGCCGTGGCTGGTCAACAGCAGCTCTGGGGATTGAGGCTCACTGGCTGCCGCCTACCCAGCGGCTCGGGGAGGGATTTTCAGAGCCAGGCGCTGGTTCCCACATGCGCATGCATGTTCCACGGGAGTCTCCCAGTCTGTGGGTCCCTTGGGGTTGGCAGTGACCACACCTTCAATCCCTGGGTGAGGACCACAGAGACCCAGGCTTGGTCTGGCAGGGAGGGCAGGAGGGAGGCCCGGCTCTGTTACCCCTCACTGGCAGGCTGGGCAGCTGCCCAATCCCGGGGCCGATGGCTGGGCGCAATCAGAGAGGGACACACACAGCCTTGCATGACAGGCCTCCGACTGAGAAGGCTGGCACAACCTGGCCACCTGGGCCAGATCAGCGACCAGACAGTGCACGCTGAGCAGTGGCCCCTGCCCATGCCCTCCAGGTTCAATCCCTGCCTGCTCCCAGCACGGGTGGCAGGGCCAGGATACCGCGTCCCCTGGAACGCGCTGGCACTCACCTGCCTCTTGAAGCCGGAGCCTACCAAACAGAATGCCAAGAGGCAGAGCACGAGGAGGCCCCGGGGCCCCGTCATGGCTGGGGGGGGGGGG